ACAATACAAACAAGACAAAACAGTGGTCTTGGTTCATATCCATGTCTACATTTTTGCAAACATTCTCCATTAACATATACTGCAACAAAGGAACCACTAGGCGGAACATTATATGCCCGAAAGTGTTTTTTTTTAGTAAGGATGAAGCATTTGTAAGACATGGGAATTTAATAAAGTATCAATATGAGTCTTCTACCCAGTATGGACAATCATCATATGAAGTTTGAATATTGTGGGCCAAATGGAACTTAAGTTATGCTCCGGAAACTGTTTGCAGTTTTAAGTTAATAGTGACCTTGACCTTTCACCTTGTAACCCCAAAATCAATAGGGGCTTCTACCTAATATGGACAATCATCCTATGAAGTTTGAATATTGTGGGCCAAATAAAACTTTAATTATGCTCCTGTTAAGGTAATAGTGACCTTTGACCTTGTGACCCCAAAAACAACAGGGGTCTTCTACCTTATATGGACAAAACTCCTAGGAAGTTTTAATATTGTGGGCAAAATGGAACTTAAGTTATGCTCAAGAAACAATTTTCAGTTTTTAAGTTAAGTGACCTTTGACCTTGTGACCCCAAAATCAATATGGGTCTTCTACCCAATATGGACAATCATCCTATGAAGTTTGAATATTGTGGGCAAAATTGAACTTCGAGTAATGCTACAGAAACTGTTTTCAGTTTTAAGGTAATAGTGACCTTGACCTTGTGACCCCAAAATCTACAGGGGTCTTCAACCCAATATGGACAATCATACTCTGAAGTTTGAATATTGTGGGCTAAATGGATCTTAAGTTACGCTCCGGCAACTGTTTGCAGTTTTAAGGTAATAATGACCTTTGACCTTGTGACCCCAAAATCAATAGGGGTCTTCTACCCAGTATGGACAATCATCCTTTGAAGTATGAATATTGTGGGCCGAATGGAACTTAGATTATGCTCCGGAAACCAAATTGTTAACGGATGGACAGACGGACGGACGCCAGGGGGTATAACATAATGTGCCCAAAACTCTTTTGGGCATATAAAAATAAGAGAGAGGTCAACAGTAGTACTCACACCACAGACTTATATTAAACAAACAACTTGACCCACTACGCTATTGAGGATGTGATAACAAATTCCACATTTAATTCCCCTAAGTTACACGGGCAGAACCGAATATTTAAATGAGTGCCATAATGTATTCATAATTGACAGGTCAGTAATGAATCAGACTATAGATAAAGTGATATTATATAAATATATGTATATAAACAAACATTGATAACATAAAAATTTACAATCTATAACAACAAAGACACAGGTGATCAAAATAAAACAGAAGTTTTTAGTAACTTAGAAAAGGTAGGGTTTTCCCTTGTTAGCCCAAGGTACAAAACACTTCCACTCACAATAGTTATAATTGATGTATTTACCATGTTACTTTGTAACTGCATAACTTTGTATGTACTCTAGGATTAGATGGGAAAAGTCACATTTACTAAGTTCCTTAGTATCCCTACTGTTAGCACTAGTGACTCACTTAAGAACGCTATCTACACCAATTTACACTTTTCTATGAAGAATTGCAAGTACTTAAAATGAGCTGCAAAAATGGCATGGCTGGGGACAATAAGAGTGGGGATGTGGGGGTTAAATCCTTGAAACATTGAGAGCTATCACTGGGAACCTGTCCTTACTTTTAACTTGTTACCAATAAATTACAGGTATATGAATAAAAGCAGCTTCTGGTTTGTGACAATAATAGCCAAAATAAGTCAATATTAACCAATTCATTGGGGTTTTTATTTTAGTTTGTCTATCTGATTTATTTTCATTTTAAGACACACTAACACACCTATAATATCAGATGACTTTCAAGCTGGTGAAAGAAGACCAAATGTGCGCCTCGGTCCGTTTTTGTTCAGGAACGAGTATGCGTCTGAGTAGAACAAACACATTCTGTAAGCTTAGCTTAGCTGAAAAGCTTCCTCCCATGAAAGAATTCCAAAGACCTCGGTGAGATTTAAACTCACCACCATGTGGACCAAGTGGTTTGAAATCAATGAGACTATGGGTTGTAATCTTCAACTTTATCCCAGAGTAATTTCAACAAGAGCCCACCATGTGGACCAAGTGGTTTGAAATCAATGAGACTATGGGTTGTAATCTTCAACTTTATCCCAGAGTAATTTCAACAAGAGCCCGGTTTGAGCCGGGTGATGCTCCCCGAATAAGTTTTGGACACAAGAAAGTACACCTCTTGTAGTTTCAGAGTTATGTCCCTGGAAAAAGTTCAAAGTGCAATAATTCTAAAATTAGGCAAGGCAGAGTTACTGTTCTTTGCACTGCACTTCTAATCAATGTGATCTATCAACCTACAAAGTTTCTTGATGATATCTCTTATGATTTCCGAGTTATGTCCCGGACAACTTCAAAAAGTAAAAATAAACAAAGGGCAATAACTCCAGAATCAGAATTAGGCAAGGCAGAGTAATGATTCTTGTGCACTGCACATCTACCCATTGAGATATATCTACCTACAAAGTTTCATGTTGATATCTCTTATAGTTTTACAGCTATGTCCTGGACAAGATTTTTCTAAAAGGGGAAATAATTCAAAAATGAGGCTTAACAGAGTTATGGTTCTTTTGCACTGCACCTCTAGTCAATGAGATCTATCTACCTACAATGTTTCATCTTGATATCTCTTATAGTTTAAGAGTTATGTTCCGGACAAAGTTCAAAGTGTCAAAATTAACAAAGGGCAGTAACTCCAAAATTAGGACAAAAAGAATTATTGTTCTTATGCACTGCACATCTATCCATTTAGATCTATTAACCTACAAAGTTTCATATTGATATCTCTTATAGTTTTAGAGTTATGCCCAGGACAAGATTTTTCTATAAGGGGAGATAATTCAACAAGAGGGCCATGATGGCCCTGAGGTCGCTCACCTGTATATAGCCCCCCCCCCCCCCCCCCCCCCCCCCCCCCCCCACCCCCGGGCCAATTTTTACCCAAGGGCTTTTATTTGTTTATTTGAACAGACTTGGTAGACACCCATAAGAAGATGTTTCATGCTAAACATCTAAGTTCTAGCTCATTGGGTTTTTTAAAAGAAGATTTTTAAAGTTTTTACTATACACATATAGTTAAAAACAATGACACCCCTGGGGCAGGGCCAGTTTTGACCCCCGGGCTTTTATTTGAACAAACTTTGTAGATATTTATTACTTAAAGATGTTTCATGCTTAATATCTAAACTCTAGCTCTTTGAGTTCTTTAAAAGAAGATTTTTTAAGTTTTTACTATATGCATATAGGGAAATCTATGACCCCCTGGGGCGGGGTCAATTTTGACCCCAGGGCTTTTATTTGAACAAACTTGGTAGACATTCACTAGAAGATGTTTCATGCCAAATATCTAAGCTCTAGCTCTTATGGTTCTTTAAAAGAAGATTTTTTAAGTTTTACTATATGCATATAGGGAAAATCAATGACCCCCTGGGGTGGGGCCAATTTTGACCACAGGGCTTTAATTTGAACAAACTTGGTAGACACTCACTAGAAGATGTTTCTTGCTTAATATCTTAGCTCTAGCTCTTTGGGTTCTTTAAAAGAAGAATTTTTAAGTTTTTACTATATGCATATAGGGAAAATCAATGACCCCCTGGGGCGGGGCCAATTTTGACCCCAGGGCTTTTATTTGAACATACTTGGTAGACATTCACTAGAAGATGTTTCATGCTTAATATCTAAGCTCTAGCTCTTACGGTTCTTTAAAAGAAGATTTTTAAGTTTTTACTATATGCATATAGGGAAAATCAATGACCCCCGGGGCGGGGCCAATTTTGACCCCAGGGCTTTTATTTGAACAAACTTGGTAGACACTCACTAGAAGATGCTTCATGCCAAATATCTTAGCTCTAGCTCTTTGGGTTCTTTAAAAGAAGATTTTTTAAGTTTTTACTATATGCATATAGGGAAAATCAATGACCCCCTGGGGCGGGGCCAATTTTGACCCCAGGGCTTTTATTTGAACAAAATTGGTAGACACTCATTAGAAGATGTTTCATGCCAAATATCTAAGGTCTAGCTCTTAGGGTTGTTTAAAAGAAGATATTTAAAGATTTTTCTTTCGGTTGCCATGGCAACCAGAGTTCTGTATGGAATTAAATTCTTTGAACAATTTTTAAAGGTGACCACCAATGGAATATTCCTGTGAAGTTTGGATGAAATTGGCTCAGTGGTTTATGAAGAGATGTCATTTAAAGCAAAAGTTTACGGACTGACGCCGGACGCCGGACGGACGGACGCCGGACGAAAAGCGATCACAAAACCCCCCTCCTGTCACTTTGTGACAGGTGAGCTAAAAACCAGGCAAAATAGAGTTATGGTTATCCACATTTGTTACATCTAGTTCAAAATATATTAATATCCAGAATATAAAGTTATGGGAAAAAAAGGCTGGTCTGACATGTAAAGTGTAAAATTGAATGTGATCATTTATACATTAAACTTTTTATCAATTTTTGTAAAGTTAACTATTTTTTTTAATTTGTAAGCTCATCTGTATGGGTGCAGGTCTAAGTTCTTTTTAATGTTTACAGTTGAAATCCAAAAAAACACGGCAAGATTCAAACTTAAGACAAGAACTTTTAAGAAGATAGAGGGTATAAATCATTTGAACAATCTTAAAAAGGCTTATGCAGAATAACTATATACCTAGTTTGATAAAGTTTCATTCATACACTTACAAACAAGTATCTTACTATGATATTTGTTTTGCTAAAGTGTCACTTAAGTGAAAATGATCCAACCAAATTTTTTCAAACGAAATTTGTAGGACTAAAGTCCATTCCAGGATGTTTCATACTTATTTATTGGTTTCTTTAGCATAAACTTCAGAGTGGAAAGGCAAAACAATAACAATTAGATCAACAAATCTTATTTGGCTATGCTTGGCAACTAACAGCATTCTACAATATCTGAAATCTAGATAAAGTCATTACCATTTGTACATCAACAGCTCTGCATGGGTCGAACACATCCTCTTCTAACAAAGTGACAATCTTTGACTTTACGTATTTCACATCTATTTCACTCTTCAGTTTAACTGGAATTTTTACATCACATCTCCCCCACTCGCATAACGTCTTTATCGCCTCAAGTCGTAACAGCTGATTCTCTGTTAACAAGCTAGGCGAACATAAACTCTGACATACTGTAATAATACAGACACACGATACATTATTGTTGCCAATTTTTTATGCAAAAGATCCTACAATGTAAGTATTTTTTTTTAAATCATTTTGGGAAAATTCTTGGGACGTCAATATAGGAGTAATAAGTGAAATTTGTTTCTATTATCATATCCTAAGCACATGCAAATTTATTTTAATTCTACAACAGTTGTATTGTTTTCTTCTGCCTACATTTCTTTCAGAAACTGGTGTGAAAGAGAGTTGAAACTTAATCCTAAATGACTACTAATATATCTTATGAAAAAGAAAAAAAAAAACAAAAACAAAACAACATTTATTTTAAAGCAGTATATTAAAACTAATAGGCGGCAACTTTGAAATGAATTATCCTTGAATTTTATCTCACACATTACTGGTCATTTTTGCACATAATAAGCACTTTATACAAAAACATGAAAAAATGTACATCATGTCATAACTAATGTAAACATAAAGAAATTGCAGATAAAGATGAATCTCCTTATTTTTGAAAATAAGAAAACTATAAATTAGCTTTGCCAAAACAACTACCTTCATTTGTTGTAGAAACATCATCAGAATCCTGACTGTCTGGTCCATCATTAAAGTCCAGATCATCTACTTCCATTGCATTATTGTTGTTAGACTGGTCCTCAAAATCTAGATCAAAATCATCATCAAAGTCATCTAGAAGCTTGCTGGCTCCTCTATTAAATCTAGACTGGTTTAAACTAGAGTCTGCACTAGTGCTACTAGCCTGTCTGTTGGTACAGTGCTGCAAAGAGATGAATGTTTGCTTTCAGAATTCATTATTTTGAATAATTATCCTTGCAGAGCATGAAGGTAGTATACATTCAAAATGCAAAACTTGATTTCCTACTCTATACTCTTGCAAAGTTTCTTTCTGATGAATCTGACAATCATGGACGGCAATCAGCGTCAAAATAATGGCGGAAGGACCCACTGCAGAAATAATATTAAAATACTGTAAAATTGAAATATTTTTCAAACAAAAAAAACAAAAACAAATTTACACCAAAAATTACTTTGTCTGTAAATATTTTTCCACCAACAAAAAAACAACAGATTTACACCAAGAATTACCTTTTCATTTGCAATGTCTAAGAGAACAGTAACTAGTGCCGATGGTGTAGCTGACCTACATACTGCAGACATTATCCTACAACACTCCTCCGTGCCTCCGATACTCTCCAACAAACTTTCTCCGTCCCAACAAAACAAGTTCCGTAACTCCTTCACAATCAAAAACAAATTTGAGTATCCATCTTTCTTAATAATTTCTTGAAGTGAGTTTGAAACTTTTTTCAAAACTCGGACTAAACTTTCATACAGACTACATGTAACTATAGTTTGTGGTGTAAGAATCTGGTTGCCTAGCAACAGTGACAAGAGCCTGCAAACCAGCCTTAAAAATTTCACACTTTCTTCTACATCTGATACCTGAAATATCAAATATTTCTTATCTCATTACTACTTAGTAATAATGGATCTAAGATATGGTATTTTAAGAGTCAAACACCTGATAAAGATATCACTCCTACCCCCACCCCCCCAAAAAAAAAAAATGAAATTGAAAATAAAATCAAACAAATTTCCTACATCAAAATAATGAATTAAGCTAATATTCATTAATTATATGGCTTATGTACAAGAATCACAAGTGGCACATTCTAAAACAAAATATATATTAACATTATTCTTCAATGACATTTTGTTCTGTATGGTTTCATATACTCAAATCTGTTACTGTGTTATACAGCCAGGTGTATCATACCATATAAGTATTTCTGTATTCTGAACCAATATTGAACCTTACCTTTATTATCTCTTAAAGTAACATTATGCTTCATCATCAACTGAACAGTTTAATCACCAAATAAGAATAAATTGCTTTAGACATAATTATAATATTTTCAACTGGATTGTTTTATAGGGAAAAGATGCAACAAGTACCCAAATAAGCTTTGAGACATCCGAGATCCGACTTTGTTGTTGTAAACAGTTATTTTACTCCATTTTTACTTGGTAAAACACTTAGTAAATTTAAAACATTGCACTGTAAACCTCTGCAGAAAAACCACAACTTGTGTGGCAAAAATTTTGGTTGTTGCCGAGAGGTGTCGATATGAGAGGTTAAATTCAAGAAATAATATATCCCATCAAGCGATAATTTTCTGATTTGGATATATCATATTATTTCGATTCTAACATAAAATCAACATATAAATGCTGCCATACCTGATATTAAGCTAAATTGCACCTGATTTGTTTCCATTTCAGCATGTTACATTTTAAGTGGTTACCTCACTTGTCTTAAGGTTATGTCACATGTTTTAATATAGAACGTCAACAATGATTTTATTGCATAATAACACTCACTTTCAGTCCTTCTATGTGTAATAGGAAAAAATGTGGGTCATGTTAGAATAAATGGTAAATCACTATCTGGAAAGAATTGGTTCTGCTCTTGTATAAAGGAGTATACTCGAGAATATTATCAACTAACCTGTTCTTCAGCTCGTGAAGTGTAGAACTGTACTTCTGATTTTACTAAATTTTCAACCATCAACAGCACTGTTGGTATATGAACTGAGTCAATGTTTTCTATTTTCTTTCCTGGCTTAAACAACACTTCTTCCACCTCTAGTGGCATCTCAATGGCAGTCTCTAGGTAACATCTCTCCAATGGACTCATTAAAATTTGTTCATTTTTGCACCCAGTCAACCTAACAGTGAGATTTCTCAAGGTCAATGTCATTAATGCATGAGCTGTCCAATCAGGATTCAGCTTACAATATGACCTTGACCCTTCAGTTTCATCATCTCTTGAAGGCAGCAACCATTGAAGTAGCTGTTTTCGTAGAGGAAATTTAACGTCCGCTGAAGCAGACGCAATCGTGACTGCTAAATTTGGCACATAATTTTCAGGAAAATCACAGTATTCTAAACACTGGCATAGAAATATGACAGATTCAGTGATGGGACGTGTTAATGATGGCATAAAGATGGACCAGATATCCTTCCTCGGTGTAACCAGGCGTGCCTCAATCATGGCAGAAAGCAAAACATATCCCTCTGGTTCAGCATTATGTAGACTCACAAACCTGAAATTCAACATGGAGACCAAAAATAAAACTGCTGATCAAAACATGAAATAAAGTTCACACACATCCTTGTATCAAACCATACTGCCATTACTGGGATCAGAAATTTCAAATTAAGATGTAATACAAATATTTCAACTTTTCTTCATTTCAACTAAAAATCATTGTCTGATAATCTATATGCTTTATTGTTCAGATTTATTCTATACAGACTACGAGAAAACTTCAACACATCAAAAAATTCGACACATAAAATTTCCACTGATGTAACTCCATTTCACTCACTACATAAAAATCAAAAGCTAAAAAACTTTGAAAACAAGAAACATGGCATTGCCATGAAACCATTTTTTTTAAAGTAACAGTGACCTTGACCCTAGAGGATCTCCTCCTGTTTGATGCTCACCCGCACACCCCCCATTTGCCAATCATATAACCAGGATTTTCAAAATTGAGAACCTGGTTAACAAGAGCCCGGTTTGAGCCGGGTGATGCTCCCCGAAAAGGTTTTGGACACAGGAAAGTACACCTCTTGTATTTTCAGAGTTATGTCCCTGGAAAAAGTTCAAAGTGCAATAATTCCAAAATAAGGAAAGGCAGAGTTACTGTTCTTTCCACTGCACTTCTAATCACTGTTATCTATCAACTTACAAAGTTTCTTGTTGATATTTCTTATGGTTTCTGAGTTATGTTCCGGACAAATTCAAAAAGTAAAAATAAACAAATGGCAATAACTCCAGAATTAGGCAAGGCAGAGTTATGATTCTCAAGCACTGCACATCTACCCATTGAGATACATCTACCAACACAGTTTCATGTTGATATCTGTTATAGTTTTACAGCTATGTCCAGTACAAGATTTTTCTAAAAGGGGAGATAATTCAAAAATGAAACTTAACAGAGTTATGGTTTTTTTGCACTGCACTTCTACTCAATGAGATCTATCTACCTACAATGTCTCATCTTGATATCTCTTATAATTTTAGAGTTATGTTCCTGACAAAGTTCAGTGTTAAAATTAACAAAGGGCAATAACTCCAAAATTAGGACAAAAAGAGTTATTGTTCTTTTGCACTGCACATCTACCCATTGAGATCTATTCACCTACAAAGTTTCATGTTGATATCTCTTATAGTTTTAGAGTTATGCCCCGGACAAGATTTTTCTATAAGGGCAGATTATTCAAAAATGAGGCTTAACAGAGTTATGGTTCTTTTGCACTGCACTTTTGCTCAATGAGATCTATCTACCTACAATGTTTCATCTTGATATCTCTTATAGTTTTAGAGTTATGTTCCGGACAAAGTTCAAAGTGTTGAAATAAACAAAGGGCAATAACTCCAAAATTAGGACAAAAAGAGTTATTGGTCTTATGCACTGCACATCTACCCATTGAGATCTATTCACCTACAAAGTTTCATGTTGATATCTCTTATAGTTTTAGAGTTATGCCCCGGACAAGATTTTTCTATAAGGGGAGATAATTCAAATACCGGGCAAAATAGAGTTATGGTTCTTTGGCACTGCACTCCCCCTCAATGCCCTCTACCACTGTATGAAGTTTAAACAAATTATCTCCAAGGGTTTTCAAGTTATGCTCCGGACAAGAAAACGGACGGATGTACCAAAATTTGATTTTTTTTTTAGGCAAATGAGCTCATAAACACCACCTGGACCAACGTCCATAAGCAAAATAAGCTCATAAAAGCAAAAAAATAGCTCTTAATTTGAATTTTATGAGTTTATGTTCTTTATTTAACTACGGAATGAAGCTCATAATAATCAAATGTTGGCTCGGACAGACGGACAAGGCGCCGACTATATGTTCCCCCGAAATTTTTCGGGGAGCATAAAAACAGGTCACTAAATGCAAACCTTCTACTTATAATTCATAGATTAATAACCAAGCCGGAAAAATCTTTCTTTTTTTAATGCTTAAAGTAACTTGGTATCAAATTTACCTCAAAGTAACCATCCATATTTGATTCCATGTAGATTTTGATTGCTCCATCAGCGTATCTGTATCTATGGCAACAATTTTATCCCAGCTGACGACAAATGACTTAATACACCTCATTATGTATACCATCAGATCTGTCCTGATAAAATGCAATATACATGAAAATAATTTGATACATCAATAAAATTATATTACAGGAAAATAAGTTTGTATTTCAATATAATATTATTTCAGAGATGAAATGTAGAACCAGTGCTTATTTTCATGCAATTAACACTGTCTAATACCAAAGCAATAACTTCAGTATCACACCAACACATGAAGGAATGAGATCAGTTTTACAGAACATTTTATCTAAATAATGAAACAGTAAACAACACATTAACAATTTTCTCAAGTTTAATGGATCTTTGATTGTATATCTTGCCTGTTTTTAAATCTTCATCAAATAAACCATTTGAGTTTGTGGTTAAACAAAAATGGTTTTACTCCCAAAAATTGAACCAAATTATCATGTGATAAATGTGTGCCACACATAGGACTTGTATTCACATATCTGCTATCTTTACTAAGACAATCAGGGGCGTTAATAATTTTTGTCGATAAACAAGATTGCATTTGAGAAAAATGCTATGCCACCGCATTAATACAACACTAAATAGTAGAGTAGGAAGAGATTTGTTTTGTTTTTATACAATTGAAGATTGTCATAATGCATAGATCACTGACCTATCTAATTCTTATTATCAGATTAGTGGTTAAATCTATTGTTAATCCAATAAAAGATCAGAGTAGGAATATATCAATGCACTTGAGTCTGGTGAATTTGGTGGTGAAGGTCATATTTCACACAGCCTAAATTTCATGACTACATCAAAGGACAACACAGTAAGACACTTTGTCAAAATCTAGGTCAGCTGATATCAAAGTTCACTTTACATCCTAATCTGTGTACATGGTTCAAATTTCATAGCTGTACATCAAAGGACAAGAAAGTAGGTCACATCATCAAAATCTAGGTCACCTGATATCAAAGTTCAATTTTACAACTTAAAATGTGCACATGGTAAAAATTCCATTGCTGTACATCAAAGGACAAGAAAGTAGGTCACTTTCCCCTTGGGCAAGGCAAAATTTTGACCCAAGGGTTTAATTCAAAACAATCTTGATACAGGTCCACCAAACAACATTTCAAGTCAAATATCTAAGCTGTAGCTTTCTCCCATTCAGAAAACATTTGTTTTATTTTCTGTTTTTACTATGTGTACATAATGAGACTCACTGCCCCCGGGCAGGGCCAATTTTGACACCAAGGGAAAAATTTGAACAACTTTGGAAGAGTACCTATAGATGATATCATTTAACAAATACTAAAGCTCTAAGTCTTGTACCTTCAGACAATAAGATTTTTTACTATATGTATATATTGAAAATCAATGACCCCCGGGGCGGGGGCAATTTTGACCCCAGGGCTATAATTTGAACAATCTTGCTAGAGGTTCACTACACAATGTTTCTTGCAAAATATGTAACCTCTAGCATTTGTCTCAATTGCTAGAATTTTATTTTTAAAGTTTTTACTATATGTTCTTACTATATACATATAAGGAAAACCAATGACCCCCGGGGCGGGCGATTTCCACCCCAGGGCTATAATTTGAACAATCTGGGTAGAGGTCTACCAGACAATGCCTTATGCAAAATATCTAAGCTCTAGGCCTTTTAGGTCTTTACAAGAAGGTATTTTAAGTTTTTACTATATGTACATACAGTGAAAATCAATGACCCCCAGGGCGGGGCCAATTTTGACCCCAGGGCTATCATTTGAACAATCTTGGTAGAGGTCTACCAGACAATGCTTTATGCAAAATATCTAAGCTCTAGACCTTTTGGGTCTTTACAAGAAGATTTTTTAAATTTATTCTTATAATTCCTTTTGGTTGCCATGGCAACCAGATTTCTGCATGTAATGAAATTCTTTGAACAACTTTAGAAGCCCTTCTCCTAAGGATCAATCCTGCCAAGTTTGGTTTAAATTGGACTAGTGGTTATTCACAAGAAGATTTTTGAAGTTCACTATATAATCTATATAACACACACACACACAAACAAACACACACACAGGTGAATCGCTATATGCCACCGCATCGCAGATGCTGCGGTGGCATAAAAAGAACATCCAATAACAATGTAATGCCCTTTACCACCTGTGTTACATTTTAACAAGCCAGAGATCTTTGTTTTAATAACTCCAAATATATTGCTTTCAGAATTATTCCCATTGTCTTAAAACTGCACCTTGTCATGATAAGCAAATTTTCCAAGTTTTATGTTGAAACGTTTCAAGAAATGTTTGAATAATGGGCTGTATTAAAGTCTTTGCACAACAACCATAATAGCTTGAAATCATCTTCGAAACAGAAGCTAAAAAATGAGCTACCATCAGTAGAGAGCCAGGTCAGGTTGCATGGCTGTACAGGACAGTCAAGCTCTCTTCTGGTAGAAAACACTAATCACTTTTTGGTAATACAAACCTTTTACAGTCTGAGAGTGCATGTGACAGGCATAACAAATATGGTATAACCTCATCTCTTGGAATACTATCAGTATACTTTGATACAAGGCCTGTAACCAGTTGTAACCTAAAATAACATAAAACCTGTCATATTATCTCCTAACAATAATTATAAAGATAAATTACCTTACAAATAAACATGATCATACTTACCAGTAAGTAATATTCTCAAAATAACACTCTGAAGACTGTATTATTTCTAAACATTTTTTTTATAAATTAATGTATAAATAAACATTTCTTATAATATCAGAAATTTTTAATACTGAATTTTAATTACAAAAACATCAATGCAACATTTTTTTAATTAATGGTATGAAATAACAACATTGGCATTTTTGCAACACAGCCTTAATAAGCTCACACCCATTCACCTAGAGGGCATCTACAACTATCAACTGCTGCTGTTGCCATGCTATATTTGTGTTAATCATTCACAGCTGCTTTCAATGAAGAACAACCAAAATGCTGTGTTGGATAGATCAGTCATATTGCGAGTTAATGTCTTAATTTTAATTCACCAGTTATATTAGAATTGAAATTTTTATTATTTGACAAACAATTTCCCTGTGTTATGATTGGTCGAGACACAGTCACATGATTTTATTATTTGACTAACAATTTCCCTGTGTTATGATTGGTCGAGACACAGTCACATGATTTTATTATTTGACTAACAATTTCCCTGTGTTATGATTGGTCGAGACACAGTCACATGATTTTATTATTTGACTAACAATTTCCCTGTGTATTATGATTAGTCAAGACACAATCACATGATTTTATTATTTGACTAACAATTTCCCTGTGTTATGATTGGTCAAGACACAGTAACATGATTATATTATTTGACTAACAATTTCCCTGTGTTATGATTGGTCGAGACACAGTGACATGATTTTATTATCTGACTAACAATTTCCCTGTGTTATGATTGGTCGAGACACTGTCACATGATTTTATTATTTGACTAAAAATTTCCCTGTGTATTATGATTAGTCAAGACACAGTCACATGATTTTATTATTTTACTAACAATTTCCCTGTGTTATGATTGGTCAAGACACAGTAACATGATTACATTATTTGACTATTGATTTCCCTGTGTTATGATTGGTCGAGACACAGTGACATGATTTTATTATCTGACTAACAATTTCCCTGTGTTATGATTGGTTGAGACACAGTCACATGATTTTATTATTTGACTAACAATTTCCCTGTGTTATGATTGGTCGAGACACTGTCACATGATTTTATTATTTGACTAACAATTTCCCTGTTTATTATGATTAGTCAAGACACAGTCACGATTTTATTATTTGACTAACAATTTCCCTGTGTTATGATTGGGCGAGATACAGTCACATGATTGTATTATTTGACTAATAATTTCCCTGTGTTATGATTGGTCAAGACACAGTAACATGACTTTATTATTTGACTATTAATTTCCCTATGTTATGATTGGTTGAAACACAGTCACATAATTTTATTATTTGACTAACAATTTCCATGTGTTATGATTGGTCAAGACACAGTAACATGACTTTATTATTTGACTATTAATTTCCCTATGTTATGATTGGTTGAAACACAGTCACATAATTTTATTTTTTGACTAACAATTTCCATGTGTTATGATCGGTTGAGACACAGTCACATGACAGTCAATAGTAAATGACATTCTCTTCACTTGAATGTAGTATTCATGTAAACGAATCAACCTTATGAAGAGTAATGCCAAATTTAACCATTTATTATTAGAAACCAAAGGCTTTACTGAATTCAGGGTACTATCCAACTTATTTAAAACATAGTTTCATTAAATAAACATTCAAGGTAAATTTTGAATTTTGTCATAATACAACAGAACAGAGCAGATTCTATTATTAAATATGACTTGAACATAACAGTTCCTTATCATTACACAATATACAGCATATATTAAATACAGTGAGAGTGTTGTCAAAACACAATAATCATGATAGGAAATGGTGTGATATTCACCTCATCACCATATATAATTATAGATCATTAAGAAATGATCACACAGGCAGAGAGAGAGAACAAATATAATTAAATTCTTTAAAAGTGGGAGGTGATGCAAACTTTATACATACATGCATGCCTGCATATATTATACATGTGATCTGATTCTTTACTGTTTACTGCTTAATGGCCATTTATCATCATAATATAAAAATCCTATAATATATGACAAGCTTCTATACTGTAGGCTGTTAAAAAATCTTATACTTAAAAAAATCATAAATCAACAGACCAAATGTTCTAAATTCAAAGGGATTAAAGTCTTTTACACATATGATTTGGAAACTCTATTTACCAAGGAACCATTTTAGGCGTCTGTCCTGCAGAATTAATAAAGTTCCTAATGGAATCCCAGCCAGATTCCAATCTGCGTTTCTTAGCACTCGGTCCTGTTTGCCCGTCACTGCCAGTACAGGAGATCTGGGTGACTTCAATCATGTGTGAACTTTCAGAAAAAATCTGAAAACATCAGCCTAACGTCATGATAAATTTGCATTATATTTAATAACAATTATCAGGGAAAAAAACCTTTGTAATTTAATGTGCCATTTTTCTGTAAAAAGAAATTTTCATGTTTGCATATAAAAGATTCATCCAACAGTGGTCACGATAGAATTAATAATGCCAGAGCAGTATGGAGATTTTATTTCAGATTATAACACATGTATAAATGAAGAAATGGATCCCATATAAAGCAATTTTTTGAGTCTAAAATACATTTTTTTCACTATTGGGTACATATTCTGAATATCTATGTATTATTTCATAAGATAAACAGGCTATAAGGTAATTTTAAATTAGAGACATATTATTTAATCACATTATCATATTTTTTAACTCATATTTGATATATCACACTCAGATACACATGAAGTAAAAAATTACTTAGATAAATTTTTGATCGTTTCTGAATGAACCCCTCACTACATTTGGTTAAAAATAATGAAAACGCCGTTTGGTAATTTGTGGCAAGACAAACTGAGGCAACAAACTTCTACAAAAAATTTAATCAATCATTACCTGTTGACAAACATCTACTGCTAAATCTACAAATGCTGACTTCAACTCCTGTATTTTCCCCCTAAAATATAAGTAAAACATTCAAATTTCATGGCAAATTATATCAAATATTGATGGATTTCAAATGTTCAAAAGTTCACACTATTCTTGATATTGGGAAATGAAGAAATGGATTATGATGACAGTTGTTCCCTAAAATTGTTAAATGTTCTAATAGTTATTTTAACACAACCTGCATTTTTCCCTGTTGAACATAGAAGGACTGAAAGTGTATGTAAATATGCAATAAAATCACCGTTGACGACTTTTTTTTTAAACATGGGACTGGCCATTAAAAATGTGACACTCTGAAAATAAGTACAGAAACGAATCAAGCACAATTTTTCTGTTAGTTTTACCCATGCCGGAAATTTCATCATGCTTAGGATGACTATGAAGTTGGATTTCATACATTGTTGTAAGAAAATAGTTACGGGTGTAATGACATAAATTTCCATGGAAAATTGTTTTATTAAGCTAAAGTTTAAAATATAATGGAATATGGTAGAGTATGAAAAAAAAATATCTGACATATGTTTGCTGTTCGGATCGGAATGTCTGAACCGCAACATATGACAGATATTATTAATCTTGATATCACGAACATACCATTCAACTGCATTGTTTTTGTTGATGGCGTGTATCCCAAGCAGTATTATTATCGCTTAATAAAATCACTGTTTGTCCTTCAGATGTATAGCATATTTACCTGTTTCTTGAAGGTCCCATTTGCTGAATCTCTGAATACATTAATTCATACAGCTTCTTGAGATTACTCTGAAATAATTAAACAATTTCAAAATTATATGCTACAGGAGAAAACTTATATCAGCCAGCAAATATACAAACATTTATCATATACCTGTAAATATTTGTCTACATTTAATTCAAGTATCAAATGCACAAATACAACCAAAGGTAATAAAATCTTTATAACTTGAGTGTGAACTCTTAATGATATTGCTGACATTCTGCCAATTACATTGTATATTATTGTTGAATGTATAGTTTGAAATGTATTGTATTACATGTACTTGTATTTGGCTCTAGCTAAGAACAGATCAAACTGCGCTACCACACCTCCTCAGATCCTATCCCAGTAAAATCTACTCAAGTGCAAAATACCAGTTCAAGATATGCTTGTGACTGTTTGAAAACTACTCTACCTATCTTTTTCTTTTTGGTTGAGTTTTATGTCTTTTATGTTGCACCAACAAAGTATAGATCACATGGGAACTTTCCAGCTTTTTTTAGTTGAGGAATACCTAAGGTGCTCCTCTGTATGTTATTTCAGGCACCAACGGCAGCTGAGTAGAACCACCAATGTTTCGTAAGCTAGCTGGAAAGCTTATAAAAATATGACTTATGAGCTTACTGGCTTTTCAACTTGAAACATTCCCTGATTTATCATATAGAAGTAGATTTCAGAATGTTTATAACTTTGACTATATATCAAGTTTTCCGCACAACGGATTTTGAAGTACAGTAAAGTTATAAAAGTGACATTATGCCAATCCATGGGTATATAGTAAAGAACAGGTGAAAGTCAAAATAAGTTTGCATTTTACGATAATTTCTTTCAATTTAATAATTTACTTCACATGAATGATAATGGCCGTATAAAATTTATGTAAATATCCATCAGAATTTACCTGTAATGTTTTATTTATAAAATGAGTGGGGCAGTTTTATTAAGGCAGATTATATTATATCTTAATCATTTTTTACAATTTCAACTGTTGGTCAATCACCATTTTCAGTCAATCATTTCAATGATTTGATATATATTTTCAATTCAGTTTAGCTTAACATCGAAAAAATGAGCATTATGTCACTTTAAACTTGTAGAAGAGTACATAAAGTATTTTTCTTTTGCAGTTATATAATGCTTTAGATGGTGTACTATAATTGTATTCACTGACCATCCATTTGTCCCAGTGAACAGCGTAAGCTCCAGGCGAGCCATTCTTCAGGCCGTTAGGGTGATGACACCACATCTGGGTCTGCAAAAACTTCAACAACTCATCCTGCAAATTTAACACATATTCACAATAAGTGGAAATAATCCTGTTACATATGTTATAATAAAAGTCTTGGGTTTGGACTACAACTATTGTATCACAAGGAAATATGAACATTGCTATGCATAAAAAGACCGAGTCTGCGACTATGTAAGTATATCTTGATTCCACTACCGATCAAAAATGTTTCTTAATATATTAGTATAACAGTATACTAGAATGAAAGTTTACATAAAGTATACACTACTGGCATATTTGAACTAGATTGTTACACTTGATAGGTAAAACAACAATCTTGAAACAATATGCAATTTCAGTACTTTAACTTTGCTTTATATGTAATATTTTTTATTCATGTGCATGTCAAAAATTCAAGCTTTTGAGGATTACAGTCATATGAAAATCTCACAAAACTTATTTAAACATAAAAAAATTTAACACTCACACAAATAGTTTCTCAATCACTCGTGAAATATTTTTATAAAATTGAATAATTATAAAATACTGTTGTCTCCATAATCTTCAAGTGGATTCTCGAAAGATTTGTAAAATAGAAAGTCTCTGTTATAAATCACACATGACTACTGCACATAAACAAAATAATATGTTCCCAAACAAAATATTATGCTGCTATTTTAAGTAGAGTTTTAACCATTATGCAATGATTTCATATAGATATGTCATTGCTCTCAAAGCTATATACTAAACATATTTCTTTCATCCAGGTATTTCCATATAATTATAATAATTCTTTTCCAAAATTCAAACAATCATTTTGTATTATTTCAAAGCAGATTTAAAGCTTTATACACTATTTCAATTGACATAACAATTAAGAAGCAATATGTTAGTTTTGCAAAAGTCCCAAGAGTCACACTTGTACTTTAAAGCTAACTCGACATCATATCTGAAAGCGGACAAAGACCAAAGATACCAAATAGTTAAACTAACAAGAGCTGTCGGTAGGACAGCACGCTCGACTATTCTAAGTGCTTGATAGTAAAAGAGCCTTGATACTGTTAAATTTTTTAAGTTCACAAAAGGGCTAATTTTTTTTTATAAATTCATGTTATAGGCCTTAGAGAGAGTCTAATTATACAGTATTGGCTTGACTATTTGGAAGGTAATGTCACAAGGGAGTTTTATTGCGTATAATAATACTAATTACCTATGAATACATAAATTTGACAGAAAAGGTACAAAGGCTTGTTATTTAGATGTTTTATCAAGTAAATCACTGCTTTATTATTATGAATGCATAAAATTGTCCCAAAAAAGGCACAAACCCTCCAGTAGTTATTGAGATAACAGCTTACAAGCAAAACTTTACCATGAATTTCTAAGTTGAAAAAGGGGAGAAAAATCAGCCTAAATGCAAGATAGAATTATGGATCTTTGTCAGTGACCTACAATTATGACCCTAAATGCATATGTGAAGTTTTAAATAAATATCTTTAATAGTTATTGAGATATGTAAAACTTGCATGTAAACATTAACCAAGACACTAAGTAGAAAAGGGGATATGAATCAGCCTTAATGCAAGACAGAGTTATGGAACTTGGTCAGTGACATACAATTATGACCCTCCAATTATGACCCTAAGTGCATGTGTAAAGTTTCAAGTAAATATCTTTGAAGACCTTTAACCAAAATTTCTAAGTTTCAAAGGGGCAAATAATTCTGCAAATATTGCAGGCAGAGTTATGCAATTTTGCAAACTGATGTACATTGTTACTATAAAAAAGTATTTTAAATTTCAATTGAATATCTCAAGCAATAAAGAGATATTTGACTTTACAAAAAAACTTTAACCAAAATTTCTAAGTTCCAAAGGGGCATAATTCTGTCAATATTGTAGGCAGAGTTATCCAACTTGTCAATCTGATGTACCTTGTTACTATAAATAAGTATTGTAAGTTTCAATTGAATATCTCAAGCAATAATTGAGATATTTGACTTTACAAAAAACTTTAACCAAAATTTCTAAGTTAAAAAGGGGCATAATTCTGTAAATATTGTAGGCAGAGTTATCCAACTTGTCAATCTGATGTACCTTGTTACTATAAATAAGTATTGTAAGTTTCAATTGAATATCTCAAGCAATAATTGAGATATTTGACTTTACAAAAAACTTTAACCAAAATTTCTAAGTTAAAAAGGGGCATAATTCTGTCAATATTGTAGGCAGAGTTATCCAACTTGTCAATCTGATGTACTTTGTTACTATAAATAAGTATTGTAAGTTTCAATTGAATATCTCAAGTAATAATTGAGATATTTGAATTTACAAAAAACTTTAACCAACGCAGACGCCGACGCGGACGCTGACGCCGACGCCGGGGCGACTACAATAGCTCTCATATTCTTCGAATAGTCGAGCTAAAAATACCCATTAGTAAGACCAAAAATGCCAATCAGTTAGACCAAAAATACCCATTATTATAAGTAAATTTAAGAACAAGCTGGCATTCAGATAGAATTACTCGTCTTGTTTAAGTAATTAGATAGCTCTTTTCTCCAAATGTAAGATATTATTTCTAGATAAACTATCTCAACCACGTTGACATGGATGCCCTTAAGTCTTGCTTAAATTATACCTTTAATTCCTCCGATGCGACATTATGCCATAGGTAGGGCAATTTCGGTACAATCTCTTCTCCCAGCTTACACACTTGTACTCGTGATGTTGGCCCTATGCTCTCTATGAACACATTTAAAGCTGACAGCATATGTTGTAACAACAATGAAGATTTCTGATATCTGTTAAATAATTAAAATACATCAATATATGTTCTATCCCTATGTACATATCTATATTCAAAAGTTATTGTTGCTTAAAGCTTTCACCTACTATTATGTCATTGATAGCTAGCTGTTACAATATTACAACAATTAGAAGCAATTTTTATAACATCAAAATGACTTCAAAGAATTTAATTTAATTCATCATGATCAAAGTCTGGTTTTAAAAACTCCTATAGAGATCATTTAAAGAATACTGTAGGTATTAGAATCGAATATTCATAAATCGAAAGGGTAATAATCTAAATTGGTCTAAACCATACTGCAGCCCTATCAGTATCACGATCATAAATCTTATAAAGATAATAACAATTATCAGATATAGCTTCTTTTCAATTAAAACAAATCAAATATGAAAAGATTGATATATGATTATCCTATATCATAATACTTACTTAGCTCTGGAAAAAAATTCTGTGAAGAAAGCTAGAATTTTCTTTGGTCTAACATCACACTGTGAAGTTACTCCATTGATTAGAGAATGAATAATCTGTGACAATACAAGCTTGTCTATCTTCACATCTGCTTCATTAAAAAGTTTGAAAAACATAAACAGAAGCTCTGAAATTGAGAGGAGAAAAAATATTTTTAGTCAAACTCATGGAATTTATTTCCTTTTTGTGTTAACTTACATATTCACAGTTACAGTTATATAATGCCATGGTGACCTTCCAACTCTGCTATACCATTGAGTAGAAAATTAACTTGTCCAATTGTGATTTATTTTCCCGACAATCGATCTCCCTCGGCTAATTCAAATCATTTCATAAAAGCAGTCGGACACTTGCAGAGATTATGTGGCTGTAGAGATATGACAAAAAAATGTGTTAAAGTTGGCATTAAAACCAAACCAACAAACAAACTGTGCTTCATTTTAAACATTTATACTCAATAGTAAACTATCATTAATTTCTAAATACTGAACAATATCAAACAAAGAATCTATTCTTTACTTATCCTTACACTGCTTCCTTAAAATTAAGCCTGTTATTTCTGAACCATTATATTCTTTTCTTTTATTCTGGTATAAAGAAATGTTTGTTTAAGAAATAGATGTCAATTTTGAGTGCATTATTGTAGAATAAAAGATGGTTTGAGTTCAAAAGTAGAAGTAACTTTCTTGATCTTATTAACATCATATCTGATCTTAAATTTGTTGTTTTAAGTTTCTGACAAAATATATAGGAAGAACACATTTATAGTCTATGTATGTAACCCTCGGGTAGGGCCACCAATAAAAGTTGTCTCAGTCAGGCTATAGTATTCTGAAATCTATATGTATATTATCCTCTGGTAACTAACCTTCCGGTAAAATAACCCTCCGATAGGGCCACCATTTACAGTTGTATCAATGAGGCTATATTCTCCAATATATCATGTCAGCAATTAACAAGTTGTAGTATTTAATTTATTTTAACTTTTGACAAAGATGATTTTAATGTACAAAAAATATCATTTCACATTAAGATATGTGCACAACCACACTAAACTATATATTACACAATTTGTACAAAAGCAATCATCAAATAAAAATAATATAGATAACAAGCTTATTTACCATGCCATTCTTTCGTGTTTAATTCCACCATATATTTCCTGACTGACAAGACATTCTTCAGTAGTATACTACAGTAATCTTGCCCGTATGAGTCACGTGTATATTCCTCATGTAAAATCTTTCGTATATGATCAAATAACAGACTACCCTTCAATTTGGGGCTTCCTATAACACAACATAACACAAGTTTAATTTAACTCATTACAGGACTGAAGCAGTACCTCCATACACTTGCAGAAATCATTAGCACAAAATATACAAATGAGCCGTGTCATGACAAAACCAACATAATGTGTTGGCGACCAGCATGGATCCAGACCAGCCTGTGCATCAGCGCAGTCTGATCAGGATCCATGCTGTTCGCTTACCATCTCTATAACAAGTAGAGAAACTGATAGCGAACAGCATGGATCCTGATCAGACTGCAAGGATGCGCAGGCTGGTCTGGATCCATGCTGGTCGCAAACGCACTATGTTTGTTTTGTCAAGACGGGGCTCAAATATCTTCTTTTTTTATGATTCTTACATTTTTCATTCATTATCATACATAAATTGGTGTGAAAAGATGAATTAGACCTTAAAAGTTCAATCCGTTGGGTGAAAAGACAAGATTTTAGCATTTTATCATTCAAGCGCCAATCCTTTTTTAGTCTCACTGACATAAGAAATATAGATCTGTGTTTAATGAAGTGAATAAATAGACAGATTCATAAACAGATGAGCATGCAGAGACGGCCGTAATACTCTTCTGTCGTATCATTTGTGACTTATCATAAGTAGGGCTGTCATTGAATATCGCAATATCAATATATCATGGATATTCATCATCCAAGACAATATTGATAAAAACTGTCAAATCTTGATACAAGCTACAACTGTTTATTTCTGTTAGTGAATATACCTCTCTATTTTGCCTAATAAGAGAAGTCACTTTTTTCCAGTCTTCTTGGCTTGAATTTTAGACACCGTTTTCAAATGTCAGTGACAATTATTACATCCTGGTCAGAATGCATTGAACCTGTAGGCTGGCCTGGCTCTAAACTGGTAGCACAAACTGATTATTTTTGTTTCCAGCTGCTTAAGTGCTAAAAGTTATTACACTGTACATACAATTATTTGCAGTGACTTTATCACTCCCTATCATTTTGCTACATTTTTTTTTTGACGCAGAAAAGAACTTATTGTTTATCAGATTTTAGCTTTTAACATAGTTTATCATCTATCCATGTAGTCTATTGAACCAAGATAAAGATCTTGTCAAATAAATCATAGGTATATTTCTAAAATATAAATATCATTTATGGACTTGGGAGTAAAACTCGAGTAGACCATATTAGAAAAGCCTTAAATCTGGATCAGAAATGATACTTGTAAACCTCAAGATTTTGAGAAAGTAATCATAAAATTGGGAAACAAACAGAATGGATTTTAAAACAATATTTGTATAGCAAAACAACATGTTGGAAGCTCCAAAAAATCTGTATTCATAACTGATGCTTGCTATAACCTCATAATTGCTGACAGTAAATAATATATCAAACTTCTAACCTTTGTCAGCAAGCCTAATCACATGTTTCACAAGTGCACTTATTTCTTGTTTTCTAGACTCTCTATTGCTAAGTGTTGTACGCGAGACTTCCTGGTTGGCATTCTGAAGCTCTTCGGTTTCCATGGTAACATAAATACACACAGACTGAAATTATTCAAGATGATAGCAAAAATGAACCTCTTGTGTGCAAAAACACTTCAAACACTGCATTATTCAAAGAAACTAGAAATGTGTCCATAGGACACGGATGCCCCCACACGCCACTGTTCTGTCAATCTTATGACTCTAGGTCAAATATTTTTTGGACTACATGTGCCACAAGTTGAAAACTAAAAATCAACAAAGGGCCATAATTCTGTTAAATTTGGTAGCAGCAAAAATTCCATCCTTTACTACCATCTACACATTAAGGTTGTAAATCCCTGGAAGTTTAAGCAAAATCTGCCATCCAGTTTAAGAGGAGTTACGTTCACAAAATTTCTACAAAGTATATAATGAAAAAATCAAAAAGGCCATAATTCTGTTAAATTTGGTTGCAGCAAAAATTCCTTCCTTTACGCCATCTACACATCAAGGTTGTTCATCCCTGGAAGTTTAAGCAAAATCTGCCATCCGGTTTAAGAAGAGTTGCATTCACAAAATTTCTACATAGTATTAGTGAAAAAATCATCAAAGGGCCATAATTCTGTAAAATTTGGTCGCAGCAAAAATTCCTTCCTTTACTGCCATCTACACCTTAAGGTTGTTCATCCCTGTAAGTTTAAGCAAAAATCTGCCATCCGGTTAAGAAGGAGTTGCGTTCACAAATTTCTACATAGTATATAGTGAAAAAATCAACAAAGGTCCATAATTCTGTTAAATTTAGGGTCGCAACAAAAATTCCTTCCTTTACTACCATCCACACATTAAGGGTTGTTCATCCCTGTAAGTTTAAGCAAAAAATTTAACAGGTTTAAGGGAGTTGGTTTCCCAAATTTTTACATTATCTAGTGAAAAAACAAAAAAAGGGCCCTAATTTTGTAAAACTGGTCGCAGCGAAAAACCCCCCTTTAAATAACCCTCTACACATTAAGGGTTGTTATCCCCGTAAGTTTTAAACAAATCTGCCCTCCGGTTTAAAGGAGTTGCGTTACAAGATTTGGGACGTACGGACGGAAAGGATGACGATGAAGGATTGACGGGGCAAAAAGCTTTGCTCCCCCAAATTTTGGGGGATAAAAAAAGAATTTTATTAAAAAAAATGCGATATATGGCAGTTTTAGATTAAGAAAAAAAAATCGAGTGTTGGTGATTATTTCTTGTACAGACTCATTCACATTAAATTATGAAAACAATATTTAACTCAATGTTCCAGTCATTTTATTCTTAGAAAAGATGTTTAAAATGAGTGCCTTTCTGGGAGAACTGCTTTTTTACACAGGTAAATAAGGAAAATTTAAACTGAAGTAGAAAATTTTCCTGTACTTTGCATGCATGATTAAAAAGAATCATAATTGAAACAAACAAATGAGAAAAATTGGGTGGTGGTGGGGGGATAACCATCCTATTCTATCTGTACCTAAAAGTGTGTTTTTGCTCCTTTTGTCAAGACACACAACAAATTTCATACATTTCTCACCTTATTCCATAGAACTTACCCTAAACACACTTTCCCATGAGAAGACCTTGCTTGAGCTCTTAGATGACAGCTTCTTCTCATGACTTTTGTCCAGTGCCTTTTTTGTCGCTGAATGGGATAGTACATTTTTCAGCTTCACAGCAGCTTTCTATAAGGAAGAATGTTTAGTTGTTTCAAATGTATAAAACAGAGAAAACAAGAATCCCTTACAAAGCCCAACATGGAAAAAATTGAAAATGTTGCAGGCTTGGGGTTTGTTGAGCCTGTTCATGGACGGTACCGTAAAGTACAAACTTCTGTCCACGCCCCCTAGCACTGGCTTAAGCAGAATTCAACATTTAAACGTAATAAGACACAATACCTAGATGGGTAAGTTTACATGCTTTATCAAACCTGCTTCTGTTTATGTTTTGAGTGAATTTTTTTCCTTGTTTCTAGACATTTTATCAAATCAACTCAAACTTATTGATTTTTTTTTTTGTATTGATTTTGTATTGTTTATCTACTGAACAATATCCGTAAATATTGTTTTAATTGTTGACAGCTGTAATGTACAGCAGGATGAACAGACACACATACAAGGGCAAACTTGAAACAAATATAACCCTAAAGTGGTGGAGGCAATAAAAAGGCAACTTGGAAATATAACCAAGTGCTTTTACTTATTCTTAAAACACAAATTTATGGTATAATGTACTCTGACTACTCACCCTACGTTCTGGACCTCGTTCAGAAATTCAAATCACGACATATGTTATAAACATCTGAAATCTGCCTGTCCATCGTTTTATAGCCTGAAATTAGTAGACATAGTTGAGTCAATTTAAATTTGTGTGTGTTTGGTTTACCTACCCTCCCTAACCGAATAAACCATATTGGCGACCATCAATTTGAATGTATTTCAAGGTATTAATAATAATAATATCAAAGAAAGACTTTGCATTCAATATAACGCTAATGAACCTTTTTCTCATGCAAAACATCTGCTGAAGCATGAGGATGCCTTTAAACCTGAAGCCCACAATGTGAGGGATTTAATAAGTTTGAGGCGCATAAGCGCTCTTCTTGCTTAAACAAGAGGCTTAGAGCAATCAGTGATGACATGTTTCACCTGATGATAGCTTAATTTAGCAGTTGTATAGAGGGATGATTGGACAGTTTGATGCTTTATAATGTGTTGCAACTACTTTGTAGCATGAGACACAAAAATCATTAACATAGCAAAATGCTTGTTTTTGATTCAAGCTCCATAACTCAGCCAAACAAGAGCCCGGTTTGAGCCGGGTGATGCTCCCCAAATAGGTTTTTGGACACAGGAAAGTACACCTCTTGTAGTTTCAGAGTTTATGTCCCTGTAAAAAGTTCAAAAGTGCAATAATTCCAAAATTAGGCGAGGCAGAGTTACCATTCTTTGCACTGCACTTCTAATCAATGTGATCTATCAACCTACAAAGTTTCTTGATGATATCTCTTATGATTTCCGAGTTATGTCCCTGACAACTTCAAAAAGTAAAACTAAACAAAGGGCAATAACTCCAGAATTAGGAAAGGCAGAGTTATGATTCTTGTGCACTGCACATCTACCCATTGAGATATATCTACAAAGTTTCATGTTGATATCTCTTATAGTTTTACAGCTATGTCCTGGACAAGATTTTTCTAAAAGGGGAGATAATTCAAAAATGAGGCTTAACAGAGTTATGGTTCTTTTGCACTGCACCTCTACTCAATGAGATCTATCTACCTACAATGTTTCATCTTGATATCTCTTATAGTTTTAGAGTTATGTTCCGGACAAAGTTCAAAGTGTTACAATAAACAAAGGGTAATAACTCCAAAACAAGGACAAAAAGAGTTATTGTTCTTATGCACTGCACATCTATCCATTGAGATCTATTCACCCACAAAGTTTCATGTTGATATCTCTTATAGTTTTAGAGTTATTCCCCGGACAAGATTTTTCTATAAGGGGAGATAATAAAAAACTGGGCAAAATAGAGTTATGGTTTTTTGACACTGCACTCCCCCTCAATGCCCTCTACCACTGTATGAAGTTTCAACAAATTATCTCCAAGGGTTTTCAAGTTATGCTCCGGACAAGACAATGGACGGACAGACGGACGTTCTAACAGGAGAGTAATTATGTGGCTTCTCTATTGTTCTCTCTATTGTTCTTTTTAGCCACACAAAAGAAAATAGCCACATAAAAGCATTACGGAATGAATGACATCAAAGAGAAAGAACAGTTACCTATTGTCCCTCTAGCCACATAATTACTCTCCTGTGAGTGCGGACAGACGGACAAAGCGCCGACTATATGCTCCCCCGAAATTTTTCTGGGAGCATAAAAACATTCAACCAAAAAATCCATTTAATATGTGAAAGTACTCAAGGTACTAATAAATCCTGTAAAATTTCACTAAAATTGCATTTATTGCAGTATAGGAGATGTTGTGCAAACTATGTCTGATTTGGAAAATTTGTGTCTCGTAATTTGTGCTGACAAAACTTTAAAAATATAAAAATAAAGGGTCATAACTTAAAGAGAAATCATTGAACAGGAACATGCTGACTCTATGCACAACTAAACTTGGTACTGATCATTCCCGTAAAGTATGGATGAAATTGCACCAGAAGTTTATGAGGAGCAGTCCAGACATTCCTGTGAAGTTTGGTTGAAATTGCACCGGTAGTTTTTGAGTAGTCCTGATAAGTTTGTCCTCTATGAGCTGATGTGATTTATCATTGATCTAATCTCAAAAACCCTATAAGCAACCTTTTCCCTACAAGTATAAGACTTTATGTAATGAACAGGGATATTCATCCCCAGTGATTTTTCTCACTTAATTGGGAAGAGGCCTGAGCCTCTTGATTTCAGGAAAAATTATCGCTAAAATTGCTGATTTTGGAAGTGAAAAGACTGGTTTAAGTTCAAATTTATGGGAAAACTGCATGATTTTAAAGAAAATTTCAATTGGGAAGAGGCCTTTTTTCGGAGTCTGTTATATAAGTAGGAAAATCACTGATCCCATTATGTCACTCAAATTTGTACAGACAGACATAGTAACATATGGATACCAACGTTATTTTTGCTTCTTTTCTATTAGGTCTAATGATAATTGTGTGTACAGTTTTTTGTCACTTTTCAAAAACGATTTAGTTCATATCTGTCTGTGAAATACATGTTTTATAATCCTAATTAACCCTCTAACTTTAACTTACAAAACTAACCCTTACCCATAACACTTACTTACATAGATGGCGCGATAGCTCAGTTGGTTAGACCACTGACTGTCACTCCTGAGGTCTCGGGTTCAATTCTGGGTAACATCCTTAGGATTTTTCACAGACACTTTCAGTATTTCCCACCTACCTAGAGGTGTACTGGTAGGACAGGTAATCCTCGCATATATATATATCACTGGGCATGTAAAAGAACCAAGGGCAGTGATTTTTTCACTGTATTTTACAGCCGAATTAAGGCTGTTGAACTTTCCCCTCGCCCAAAATAGGTAAATTTTCCCCTAAAAATGCTTATATTTTCCCCTAAAATGCCTTGTGCTCTTCCTTACCTGAATCATGACTTATTAATTAACAGCATCTGTCTAATATCAGGTAGAAGTTAGAAATCTGTCCCTAAAGATAGCCTCTGCTATGTACCATGCATGTTAAATTGAATTGAAATTGAAATTTTATATAAAATGTGTGGGTAAATTACATTTTCAGTTGTTGAAATATGATTTCAGGTTTTCCCCGTTTTCTGATTTATTGTGCTGTATTTTCCCCTTTAGAAAACCACAGGTTGTTTTGAAAATTGGAAAAAAAATCACTGAAGGGATATATTCACAGTGTTTTTTTTTTCCTTATATAACTGATACCGGAAAACGGCACCGTTCCCAATAGAAAATAGACAACAAATTTTCCAATTCATGACTGATAAATTCCCAAAATAACACAAAATTTCCTCAAAAATCGGCAAATTTAAAGGTAAACAAAAACAGAAATGCCATCAGTGATTTTCCTACTTATATAACAGACTCCGAAAAAAGGCCTCTTCCCAATTGAAATTTTCTTTGAAATCATGCAGTTTTCCCAAAAATCTGAACTTAAACCAGCGTTTTTACATCCCGAATCAGCAATTTTAGTGGTATTTTTTCCAAAATCAAGAGGCTAAGGTCTCTTCCCAATTAAGTGAGAAAAATCACTGGCCATTGACAAGTGATATGCGATAAAAACCAAGTATAACCACATGAGTGATATTCGTACCTGATTAATTTCGTACTTTTAGTTTCACACCTAAACGTTTAGGAAGTGGCTAGCAGTACAGGCCTGTACGGCTAGCCAAAAGTTCTAGCCGTATGTGAGTCACATACGACTAGCAAGGACATACTGTATTGGCTATAGCCGTACGGCATTTTCAAAATTAGATTGAAGTCGAAAATGCATATGTTAACCAATAAGCAGCATTTGTCTTTGTCTGTTTACTTTTTAGACATTAATATCGCCTTGTTGGCTACAGTAAAAAAAGTACGAATATCGATCTTCGTCATCTCAAGACGTTGAGAAAAAATAGTGTTTGGGCGCAGTTAAATAACATCAATTGAAATAGTTTACAAAATTTTGATGATAATCTGTTTTTGTTTCATTAAGTTTAATTTTCGACACCTTTATAATGAAAAATTTTTGTTGTTGGGCTCTGATAATTGCGTCAATTACCGACGGTTTAGAAGTATGTCCATCATTAAGGAAAGTTTGCATGTTCCGTAAAACACATTTTAAAATTCTATTGTCAGTCCCTGGGTAGGCTTTAAATGCCTTTAATTGAGGCCAGTGATTTTTCTCACTTAATTGGGAAGAGGCCGTAGCCTTTAGATTTTGGGAAAATCATCGCTAAAATTGCTGATTTGGGGAGTAAAAAAGCTGGTTTAAGTTTAGATTTTTGGGAAAACTGCATGATTTTAAAGAAAATCTCAATTGGGAAGAGGCCTTTTATCGGAGTCTGTTATATAAGCAGGAAAATCACTGGAGGCTTATTAATCGATTGTGCTTTGATGTTCGATATTTATCTACTGTACTTGAAAATTATACAATTATTTTTGCTTTTCACCGTTGTTTTTTTTCTCAATGTTCTTTTTATTTATTCAACTCTGATCATTATTTATTCGATGCTGTATGGCTGAACAATACAGTAAGTCCTGGCTAGTTGTATGTGACTCACGTACGGCTTAAACTTTTGGCTAGCCGTACGGGCCCGTACGGCTAGTCACTTCCTTAACATTATTTATGTACAATTGTTATGATTATCAATTTTTTTTCAACCTCAAGTAGCAAAAATAATCATTTAACTTTAAAGTTAATAATACATGGTTTTAAAGATTATATTATGCATCATTTTTATGTCTCCCTGGAAAAAAAATTCCCAAAGAATATTTTGCATCCTATGTAAAATTCCCAATTTGAGTCAAACCGATGGATTTTTTCCCCCAATCTGTCCGGTACCGGCACCATTCCTTAAGTAGGGGGGAAAAAACTGATTCAATAAGTGCTAGTGACAGGTTCCCAGATTCCCTTGTATCTCATAGCTGTCTCTCAATTCAATGTATACAATGTATACCTGCTTAGTGTAATCGTAAACGATTTTGAAGCAGTATTCTGTAGATGTATTGTAAATGTATATAACCCTATAAACCTAGAAATAATTTGAGTGATTTTAGAGAAGCAAATTGTTAAATATTGAGAAAAAAATGTGATAAATGTTAAAAAAGTCTAGCCGTTAAGAATAATTTTTAACAAATCAAATCAACACAAAATACTTAGGTCGAATATTAAAGTGGGACGAATCGTCAGTGGTACGAATCGTTCAATGTAGTCCAACTAATTAGACTTGTCAAAGAGACACCGAGATAATTTTGGACGGGCGCTGTCTTTTTCCAAGTCCAACCACGAACTGCATTTTTATGCACGGACGCTTCCCAATTAGAAGTTGTTGGGAGCGAAAACTAAAAAAGTTTTAAAGAAACGGTCTACATTACCTGAAAGAGAACAGTTTTTTATGCAAGGTTCCAAGTTATCATACTTTAAAGTCGAACACAAGTCTAAATATTCCACTTTAACTTTTTAAATCGTTGAAAATTATTGTAAGCGGCCATATTGGAAAATGACGCAAGCGGTGACAGGGTAAAACAGGGTAAAATTGTAAAATTTCCATGGTGTAACACAGGTATCGGCGGCAATCGATTGTATTTGTCAAGCTTTATAATTTAATTTGTTTAAGTTATTTATTATGAATTATGCAGGAATAACTTTTTTTTCAGCATTAAAAATAAAATGTGAAAAGGATATTCTGATAACCTTACTTAGATGTCCGACGTCAGATCATACTGCATTTTAAAAGTCCATTTAAATTGTCAAATTAGAAATTGTAATGTTGGATTTTTTAACATCTGTGATCATTAGGTGAAATTTCTGAACTGCCTTTTTATTTTAAAACCCTGCCATGATTTCGCACATATGAAAATACAATGTAATTGTAGGTACATCTTAATGAATTATAAGTATACTATACATGATGAAGCAAAGAAGAATTTCAATTTATATTAAACTCCCTATCAATTTCTAGTTTATTATTTTTAAAAAAATTGAGGACAGTTGTGTAGGGGAAGAAGTTCAAAACAACCAAAAATAACTTTAAATTCTGAGAAAAAAATCTTAAAATTTCAAACTATAAAATGGAATTTCAGACAGTCCTCAGTAAAATGCAATTGTCGAACAGATATGACGGGGTTTATGATAAAAACGCAGCAAGCGGAAATTTAGTGACCCTTATTTAAGACGTAGAATAGCATAACAATGTAAGACAGATGGGAGAAATAGTCTGATTAGATTACTGTAGTCGTCTGTTAGAACGACTGTCGCAAAATGACACCAAAACCTATATCCATTTAAAATTCCATGTTATCTAGTTCCCGCTTTTTATTGAACGGCACCTCGAATGTGTTGCATTGAAAGTTCCATGATTACCGCCGTATTTTGTACACATCTGTGGGTGTTGATTAAAATTTCTACATTATTATGTTTAATAAGTGATGAATTCTGTTGAAACCGGCGCAAGGGAGCACATGTACCTACCAGAGCCGTCTTTGGCACCCATGTGTATTTATGTTTCGGTTTTGCAGTTTCAGGCGTTTTTTGGTGTTTTTTTGGAGGGTGGATATGTGGATAAGTTTTTTCTGTTTTCTTTACATTTCTTTGCTTGCTTGCCGAACCTTGTATTGATAATCATTATCTGTTTGTTAGGGTTCGGTTCGGTATACAAGTATAAAATATGATAAACAACATGAACAAGGAAAGGCCGCGTTCAATGAACGCAACCCCCGCACGACCCAGGAACAAGAACCATTTGCAAGGAACCCAGGAGGATCCTAAACAAAAACAGGACGGCGCAAGAGAGAGCACGGTCTGGCTTATCACTAAAATGATACAAAATGATAAATATAAAGAAATAATGGTAACATACAAGGAAATCAAAATCAAAGAAAATAAATAAATGAATGATTAATAGGACCATTAAGTAAACTGGCACAGTGGTAGGGGATAGGAAATTCGGGGAAGGGGGAGGGGGCGGAATAAAGAAATAAAACTAGGGGCAAAGGAAAGATACTTACCATAGACGAGAAAACAGCAAGAAACACAAACAAAAGTGTCACCAAAACAGTATGAAACAACAAGACATACACCTTATACATGTATAAGTCTCTTAATCTGTTCATTTGAAAATTCTTATCTTCTCAATGACTTTTTTTTAATATCCTCTACTTAAAATTTATTTCAATTAAAATATGTGACCCTTCCCTTATAGTTACACAGCATATGGCTGGATCACAATAAAGTTCCTTTTTTAGTAAATTAATAAAGTATGTCAAGAAGACATTTAACTTTATCAGTAGGTTTAATATGGTATTATAATATATATCAGCAATAGGTGAAAAAGAATTCCTTTATTTTTTTACATTCTTAATTGTCATTTAAAGCATGTATAAATGAAGTCAGTATTTTATCGGCAGTCATTAGCAGTAAACAAGAAGGCAAACCATCTATTGATAAATGTTGAGTACATGTATTAAAACATTTAAAAATATTAAACAACAGTACTTGTACGGAGCCTATTTGCTACCATTGTATTTTAGGTTTAACACATTGATACTTTTCAATAGTATTTAATAATGCACAAATTTATTTAAAAATAATGAATAGATTTATTTCCCCGATATTTTTTTGAAGTTTAATCTTCATGCGTAACCCACACTTACCTGCTAGACACACTGGTTGCTACTACCAGCTTTCACGGAATCGATTTTTTACGATGACGTCATAACATGTCCGCCGGAGATAGTGTATACAGTACAAATTTGAAATAGATCGCATGTATGCGTTAAGACAGGTACAATCTAATATTTTTTCTAGGAGAAGTTAGTACAAGAATTTATATTCTATTGATTTTTAGAGGACATTGAAGTTACTTTCAGGTTTAAGCAGTAAAAATCAGTCCAAACTATCGATAGTGTTGCCGGTAGATTTTCCGTGCGTAAAAATGACAGTTAAAATTAGGCGTAACGGTTTGACAGTAAGAAAAAAAAAAAGTCTGTAAAATGGGTCAAACCGTTCACGCCAAATTAATTAGGCTACGTTCAATGTAGATCTATCAACTATCTATCAATATCGTCAAAAAATCGTTCACCTGATTATTGCAATGTTTAAGGTGTTATTATAAATATACTGCATTCTATTTTCTGATACTTCGATGATTCAACCATTTTAAAAGTAAACAAATACAAAATGAACATTTTTGCAACATTGACATTTCACGCTACTTTCATTTTCATTTGGCGGACCTCGTGCATTCTCGCGTAAAACGAGAAACATAAGAACTCAAATGCTGTACCATACAGTAGGCCAATAGTACTTAAGAACCAAGACAGAATTATATTTAGATTTATTCCTATATATAATCCATGCAATCATAAATCCAGTACTGTATATCAAAGGTCAATTTATTAATATAGCTCTAACTTTATTAACTGGTTCATTTCCAGATTAAAATTTATAGGTTTTGATAGGGTCTCCATGTATCATTTAGATATGACTTCATGTAAATATCAATATAATACATGTTACAAAATAATAACCTATGGCATATATCTTATGTCCGAATAATAACTTGACACAAATATAAGTAACATGAGTAATGCACATGCAACGTCGGTCTACGTTATTTATGTAGCAGGATCATAATTTCATGAAAATCTCATAGGCCTACATAAGACAATATGTCAAATTTGGGAAAAAATAACGAAAGATCTTGAGCTTCAAAAGTACACCATAATGAAATAAAATATATACGATTAGCTAAATCACAATTTGAGTAAATAGTATATACTTTTACATGTAGGTTCACACCACTTTCCTATTTGAGTAAATATATATTTTAGAAGTATTGGTTAACATAAATCATCTATATAAATACAGTCTGTCTAGCATTCTCTGAGTTATTTCTTTGTCTCCTTAAAATACACAAACGCTTTATTTATATCAAAGTTTTACACTTCATGTTATTAACACCTTGCTCCAGCTTACACACAATCGAAATATAACATCTACATCTACATCATACTGCTTAACAATCAATTCTGATTATGACTAGCAGGCGCGTTGTCAGGGAACTGTTAATAAAAGAATTTATTTATATGCAAATTAAAAAGTTAAAAGAATAAAAGTTCTACAAGACTATTAATCTAAAAACATAGTGTGCAGTTTAGAATTTATAGAATGGGTCAAGCCTCTCAGTAAAGATGTTTAAACTGGGGCTGGACTGAACAGTTAGGGGAAGGCTATTCCAAAGACGTATGCTCCTAGGAAAGAAAGAATTTTGATGATATTGTGTCCTCGAGTAGGGTATCAGGTAGTTCAGATTTCTTGTTTGAGTAAGGTGTTGGTGGTCAACAAAAACAATGTTGTTTTGGATTTTATACAAGTAGGTTACAGCACTGATGTTTCGACGCTGTTCAAGGGTTTGCCAATTAAGATCATTTATCATTTTTGAGACACTACTTGTATAGTCATAATCATTAAAAATGTATCTAGCAGCTGATCTTTGTACTTGCTCTATCTTATAAATTAAGTATTTCTGCCAAGGATGCCAAACTATGGAGCAATATTCAACCTGAGGTCTAACATAGGTCTTATATGCAGTTTCTTTTATCTTTTTATTTGGAGTTTTAACATTTCTTCTAATGAATCTGAGGGAGTTATTTGCTTTAGATGTGATGTTGTTTATATGTTTGGTCCATGAAAGGTCTTGACTAATAGTGACTCCTAAGTATTTCGCTTCTTGAGTTGAGTTAAGTTGGATGTTATGGAGGGTATAAGGAAATATTACAGGGTTTCTTTTTCTTGTTATCCTGAGAACTTCACATGTGTCAGGGTTGAATTCCATGGACCAGTCTTTTTCCCATTTTTCTAAAGCATGAAGGTCATCTTGGAGGGTTTGGGCATCTTGTTTAGATCTGATGGTTAGGTAGACAACAGTATCATCTGCAAAGAGTCTAACCTTACTTTTGACACTATCTGGGAGGTCATTGATGTAAGAAAGGAAAAGACAGGGACCTAATACCGAGCCTTGGGGGACACCTGAGAGAACTGGTAGAATTCCTGATTTTTGACCTTCAACTGCAACTTGCTGGGAGCGTGACTTAAGGAAGGAATGGACCCAATTTGTAACCTCATAACTTATACCCAATCTTTCTAGTTTACTCACAAGTTTGTGATGGTCCACCTAATCAAATGCCTTACTGAAATCCATGACTATGACATCAGTTTGTTGGCCACTTTCAAGATTGTCATGGATTTCCTGGGAGAAGCTTACTAGCTGGGACTCACAACTCCGTTTTGACCTGAAGCCATGTTGATAGGGGCTAAGGATGTTGTGTTTATCATAAAAGGACATAATATTGGACACTAAGATGTGCTCCATCAATTTGGACGCTATGCATGTGAGGGAGATTGGTCTATAATTGCTGGGTTTGCATTTTGGGCCTTTTTTGTAAACTGGGGCAATTATTGCATGCTTCCAGTCTTCTGGGACAATACCTGTTTTAAGTGAGATCTGGAAGATGTGGGTCAGTATGGGAGTAACCTCTTGATGGAGCTCTTTTAATAACCTAGGGGATATTTGGTCAGGACCAGAAGCTTTATTTGGGTTTAGGTCTTTTAAAAGTTTCTTCACACCATCTTCCGATATAGATACTTCTGGCATAGATGGGGACATTTATAAGTTTATAACAACAGCAACAACAATTTATATACAATTTATTGATTTTACTAATTACACATCAGCATCATACACATTTCATTGACATACGTGTATATGTGAAAGAAAAATATGAAAATTAAAAAGGAAAATAAATAAAGAAAAAAATAAATAACAAAAATAATGAAAATGTTGTAAAATGATCGATATCATTCTAAGTTTTCAAAATTTTCAAACTCAGTGGTTATAGCAACTGTGAAACATATATAAACACAAATGAATGAATTTCTATATATACATTTCATTTTTCGAAAAAATTTGCTAGTTTCAAAGTATTTAAACTATTATCAAGTTCGTGTTTGTTGAAACTGTGTTAAATTAATGAATTAATGAACAAATATCTATTCCTTAACTACAAAATAATAAAAACAAAACTGAAATAAGATATACATGATTATGATGATTTTTCATAACATTTTCTCGGTAACTTAGTATACCTATTATTTGAATAATCCTATCACGATATATATTCCCACCAGAACAGAGACAGACCAGCCTGTAAACCCATTTAAGCGCATACGAACAATTTTAAAATGTTCTTGGCTCATATTTTTTCATGTTTATTTCTTTGGGCTGGGGTTTACGTCGCACCAACATAGTGGCGACTTTCCAACTTGAAGACCTCAGGTGCTCCTCTGTGCATTATTTCAGGCACGGACAGGCATCTCTGTGGAACAGTACGTTAGTCGGATAGCTTTCTCACTTGAACGAATCCTCCAATGTCCCCATCTGGATTCGAACCGAAGATGTGTATGGCAAGTGTTTTATCATATAAGACTGTGACATCACTTGCAATGATAAACAATGTATTATAGAAATAAAGAACAATATTTATAAGTATAAAACAAACGTTAACATAAAAACTAAATTAATTATATCAGAACAAATGATTTATACAAAGTTGAAACTTCACACAATATATTCCGTATCATTATAACTTGGCCTCCCAGATCACTAGTGCATGTATAAAGTAAATATTGTCAAGGGAGGACAGTAATCTGATTTTAAATAAGTCATCTGGTCAGCAGGCCAAATATAAAGAAACTGATTATTGTGGTTTACATGGCATAATATAATTAAATGCTATTTTCAATTTCAAATAACTTTAAGCAGAACGTAGTTTTGTTTTAAACAAGTTTATTCAACACAGTGATGAGACGTTAAAACTATTCCAAATTTTTGTAGCTTTGGCCAATTTCAAATGTACGATAAGGTTCCTATACGATATAAAAAGAAAAGTCAATGTCTCCCCTACACCCATATTACTTTCAAAATGATTTGACATACTTTTATTACCATTGGATTTTACTCAAGTTTTCACTGATCGGTACATAGTTTTTAACATATAAATACTAATATTTCAACAACTTGAGCCCTTTTTAATTTCTGTAAACGAAGCCAAATACCATTTTTTAAATCCATAAATGAAAAATTCTTACAATATAAAATTAAAAAGGGCGGCGCCAAAAATGTACGGTATTTAGGGTAGTAGCCGACCAATAAAAAATAATGTTACTTTAAACTAACATCACGTGTAATTTACAGATACAAACCGTTTTTTTGTTGTTGTTTTTTAATACAAAAATAAACTAAAAACGTTTTCCTTATGAACATTTATCTCCTTTAAAATGGAATCGAATGCCGAAAATATAATAACAATATTTGTCGCTTTTCGTCCGCTTAATAAGAGCTTGTTCGCGTGAAAAGGGAAGGTTATTATCCAAGTGTATGGACCTGGCTTATGTTATACGTAATATTAATATTTTTCATATTTTTCTTGTGCCTAAGCACGAAATGTAATTCAAGTTTTATGTTTTAAAGTTTACGGCCTCAGTGAAGCTACTTAAACCAATTATACCAAAATTTGACTATATTATTTCTAACTTGCTCACTTTCATAAAAAAAGAAAAAAAAGTAAAAACATAATCAGCAGTTTTCGTTCTCGAACTTGTTGATAACAATAAAAATGATATTCTTTAACGCACATTAACTGATGATTGACCATATACCTATACCGATTCTCAATGGTGTTATATGTTGATAATATGCAAATGAATCCGATTATATTTTTACGCCCCTTTATATATGTATTACAGTAAAAACCCTCAATTAAGACCACCATCGGGACTGGACCAAAGTGGTCTTAATTGTGGGGTGGTCTTAATTGTGGATATTCTTATCATTGCTTACACACGTTATGACCAGGGCGTATTTTAGTCATTTTGTATGAACAAACAATTAATATGTATCTTAACCTTCAAATACAATATGAAAGTATGTTATAATGTTACATCTGATGAGAAGAAAACTTATTTCTGAAGAAATTTTTTAATATCAAATTTTCTTTGCTCTGATTTCAATATTAATTATGTATGATGTACATAATTCACATATCATGTAAGACATTATTTCTTCACAAAATAAATGTGCATAAAGCAACATTAAACCTCTCTGAAATTAACTTTCTCACCTTTTTCATGAAATATCCCATAAATAACAGTTTTGACAGCTTGTGTAATCAAGTGTCATGCCTAAGAGCAATCAAGCAGATAATAAAAACATCACAGGATCCATGCTGTTCGCTTATAAACCCTATTACACACGGGGGAGGAAGTGTTACACGAAGGATGGAGTTCTTATGATAACTTGTTCAGGAGTTCTTGTGATAACTGTCACGGAGTTCGTCGGAAAACATCTGTATATACTACAAAAACACTCGTTAAAAATGGTTATTTTTATCGTTCAAAAATGAGTTTTAGGTGCTAGATTAAACTTTAATGATTAAGCTTGTCTTACATCTTGTATTATGTGTCAAAAACTAATTCACATGCCATTTTTCATCGCGTCTTCTTTAAATTTGGAAGTTTTCAGTAAAATTTCCAAATTATTTGCCATTTCACAAGTATTGACCTGTTTATTTCTGGTCTTCATCCTTACAATAAAAAATTACCTAATTATAATGCAAATTTCCAAACATAAAGCATCGGCTAACAGAATTATACCCGATTTTTCAAATGTTCCGGAGTTCTTGTGATAACTCTAAAGATGTCACAGAGTTCTTATGATAACTTTTCTTATTGCCAGTGTGTTTCTTGCGCTAAATCACGGCACATTTTGGCGTTTATTATCATTCAATAAGATTATAAATCATTATGAAATGTAGTACGATCATCCTTTGCACAAAGATTAGGATAAACGTTGGTATTAAGTGTCTGTAAAAGATAAATAGGTGATAGGCTATTATCTACAGTAAAAATTGAACTAGCGGCCACTGATATTCAGCAGTATAATGGCTTAAAACAAAAATGTCTCAAAACGTACACGTTGTTCTCAGTTTCACATGTTTTAAGCAACCACCTTTCTTAAGCAGACAATATATAGGCATGCTTCCCTTACCTAAGGGCTAAGTTATTTGTATAATTTTATACCATAATAAATAAGTATATTACCAGGATAATTTCCACACCTTTGTCTTAAAAAAGTACGATACATGATAAAAACTCAACTGCGGTTGGCTCTAACTACCGATCTCTCGAACAAATTTGAACTGTCCCTCCAGGTTCGAGCGAACTAAGTTTGAAAATATATTTTTGTTATCAATTACAGCAAAAGTAGCAGAGTTTCCTCCACTAAGATTACAAAGCGGAAATACTTATCAAACATCGACAGAAAAACATACATGAAAATACCATATTTGAGTATTTCAAAGCGCATTTTATCACGTACATAATAAAGTTAGGTACCGAAGAGTGCAAACTTGGGCAGAACAAAGTTAGGTACCTGTCCAGCATTACCTATTTTAATGTTGCTCTATTATTTTACATTTTAATGGAATATAGGCCTGAGATGTAACACCTTTGCTCACATTTATTCAAAATTTCATAGCAGTTTTTCGGACCTTTTTTATTTAGAATATAATTCAGTACCATTAAGCAATGTTAAGCTGGGTTTTTCAAATAGATACAACTTCCCAAACTTTTCCGTGTCGTCTGCAAATATATTGTTTAAAAGTAGTGATTTACCTAGAATGGGATTTCAGTTTTTTGTGCATGGGCATTCAAACTAGAATTCCCCAGGTGTTGCTTGTAAGTGTCGCAAGTTCTCTAATGTAACTTAAAGCAACAGACAAAACTTTAAAACATATAATTGGCTGTACTATAATAACAGCTGTATTACATAGAAAACAATTTTTTCTCTGATTGATGAAGTAATCTAGATGCTTAACTGAGAAAAAATAGACTGTTTGCCTGGAGAAAAATGACAAAGGGCCAGAATACTGCTAGGAGCCGGAAACTGCTAGGAAACCAGTACATAAATCCTTTTTCATGTCTACGAAATCTGCGTCAAACAAAAAAAAATACTATGAAAAAGAAACGGGGGTAAACAATATTATCTCTTGAACTAAAATTCACTCAAAACCAACATTATATATCCTATTTTTTGCGCAAAGGATGAGCGTACTTCATTTCATTATGATTTACAATCTCATTGAATAATAAAAAACGCTAAAACGTGCCGTGAACACACTGGCAATAAGAAAAGTTATCATAAGAACTCTGTGACATCTTTAGAGTTATCACAAGAACTCCGGAACATTTGAAAAATCGGGTATAAATCTGTTAGCCGATGCTTTATGTTTGGAAATTTGCATTATAATTAGGTAATTTTTTATTGTAAGGATGAAGACCAGAAATAAACAGGTCAATACTTGTGAAATGGCAAATAATTTGGAAATTTTACTGAAAACTTCCAAATTTAAAGAAGACGCGATGAAAAATGGCATGTGAATTAGTTTTTGACACATAATACAAGATGTAAGACAAGCTTAATCATTAAAGTTTAATCTAGCACCTAAAACTCATTTTTGAACGATAAAAATAACCATTTTTAACGAGTGTTTTTGTAGTATATACAGATGTTTTCCGACGAACTCCGTGACAGTTATCACAAGAACTCCTGAACAAGTTATCATAAGAACTCCATCCTTCGTGTAACACTTCCTCCCCCGTGTGTAATAGGGTTTATAAGCGAACAGCATGGATCCTGATCAGACTGCGCGAATGCGCAGGCTGGTCTGGATCCATGCTCGTCGCAAACCCACTATGTTGGTTTTGTCATGACATGGCTCTTTTTTTTCTCTTTTTTTTTTTGATTTTTATTTTATCCTTTGCAGGTTTTTTCCATCTTAATTGATTTATCTTAATCTTTGTTAGATATTCAAATCTAATGTTTCTTTGCATTTGGTCCCCAGTTGAGTGCTACGTCTTGTAATACTCTGTATGGGCTTTGCATTCATTCATAGTTTGGTAACTTAAATATAATTATCCTCCTATAGTTGTGACAACTTATGTACAGTTTGTCCATTGTTTCACACCAAGATATAGCACAGGGTCCTTTCACGTGCAGGAATGAACGGATAGTCTTCGAGTCACAAGCCAACTGTTCAACACCGACTGTTTAGTTTCTTAGAAGGAAAACGTGTTAAATTAAGAATTTCGAAATATCAACAGATACATGATACGGTGACATAATACGCAAGAAGTCTTATGTCGATTCTGAAAAAAGAGCGTTGGTAAATATTACAGAATGCGCAATGAATTTTTATGATATTATGCTCGCATTTCAGTTAGCGCTGTTTATTTGTTCTTTTATGCGACTGACCGTGTCCCTTTTTAGGATGAGATCTGCAGCTCTTTCGGCTATCATAATAACAGGGGCATTTGTATTTCCCGATACAATAGTCGGCATTATCGATGCATCAACCACACGTAAACCGTTAATACTTTTGACCTTCAATTCAGGATCAACTACAGAATTCGCGTCGTTATATGACCCCATTTTACATGTTGACGTCGGATGATAAACGGTCACAGCAAAATGACGTATTAAACATTCGTAAAATTTGTACGACATGAACTCATGTTCTTTACAGGTTTCAATTCTCATATGATTTTTATCCGCTCCAATTTTCTTGAAAGCGTCGGTTTCAATAATCTGCATTCCAAGCTTTAAAGCTTCAACAAAAACGTCCACGTCTTCCTTTTCGGCGAGATAATTTGGATCAATATTGGGATAGTCAAAAGGATCGGTACTTTTCAATGTAATTTTCCCGCGGCTCTTTTGATGTAAGATTATTGGCAATATAAGGAACCCTTCTTTCCAGTCGCTATGAAGTAGATCATTTGCAAAACTATCGTCGTATTTACTTTCATATGCTGGCGGTTGTTGAGCGTAGAAATGGATCTGGATGTCTGGATAATCTGTTTTGCAGTACTTTGATTTAGTAAAAGCAACTCCTGTTAAAGATGTTGATGTCAAGAAACCTGTTTTTGAGAGAGCATAACTAGCAATGCTTGAAATCGACTCCGCTTTATCTTTTGTTATGCTATCTGTCGTATTTATATCACTTCGTAACACACTGTACATATGATCTTGAAGGTTTTCTCCGACAGGCAGATCTGCTTTGACAGGTATCTTCAAACTTTCAAGATGTTCTTTTGGCCCAATTCCAGACAGCATCAATATTTGAGATGATCCAATCGTTCCAGCGGACAGAATAACTTCTTGATTTGCTTTAACCATCCTCTTGACACCATTTCTAATGAAGAAAACGCCTACAGCGGTATTGTTTTGAATGTTAACTTTAGATACGTGTGCTCGAATGACAACATGCAAATTTTCTCGTGACATAGCGGGTCTTAAAAATTCTCGAACAGTGCTCGCTCGTATTCCTCCTCTTACATTTACTTGTGATATACTAAAACCTAGCTGGTTTACCCCATTATAATCCACCTCTTCATATCCGAGTTCCTTTCCCGCCTCCACAAAGGTTTTTGTTAATGGCACATAGTCATCCAATGTTACTCCTAATGGTCCACCGGTATGATGGTATTTTGAATCTTTTAGTTCATCGTCAAGCATATCCTCTGACTTTAAAAAGTAAGGTAATACGTCATCATAGGCCCAACCTTCACATCCTTCCTTGGCCCATCCATCATAGTCATATCTACTTCCACGTACATAGTTCATCATATTTATCGTACTAGTACCTCCAAGAACCTTTCCAACGGGCCAGAAATGCATACCCGGATGTTTACCACTTGCGAGCCCGGTTGCTTTCTGGGGAACAGTGTAATATTCCCAGTCCCATTCAGTTTGCCACAGTTTTGGGGCTGCAACAGGGATAGAAAACAAGGGGTTGTCTGTCTCTTCGCCGCCAGCTTCTAAAAGAAGAACACTTATATTGGGGTCCTCTGACAATCGTGATGCTAATACCGCTCCGGCGGATCCCGCCCCAACTATAACGTAATCGTATTCATCATTTATACCGTTTGCTATTTTAGAAGAATTTGGTTGGAAATAAATATATACCAGATATGCCACAAATCCTACAAGAACGGCTTTCCCAAAAATCCCCATCATTTCACTGAAAGAATGTAAGAAAAGTTTCTTTTAGAAATTATATACGACGTTATTCGAATTCAAATCTAGGTTAGTCAGTCAGTTTAACATTGTTTAATTAATTATAAAATTTGATTATGATACTGTACCACTTGATTTTCTATACATTCATCAAATTGGTTACTTCCGTTGATTTTATCATTAATTTTATTGTTATAAGAAATCAAGCATAGGATGTTCAATATCATGACAAACATAAACATACTAACATAATTATTATTTGATTTTAGCTATAGATCATTCAGTTCATATTTTAAATTGGTTTGCAATGAATATTAGTCCTTATAAACATCAATATAATAACTACTATCCCGTGTATTAGTTGCTGACACAATACCGAGTATAATGTTCCAGTATATGTGAGCATGTATATAAAACGTCCTGTTCAAGAATTTCGTTCATTTCGTAAACTGATTCACTGAAAATATACCGTTTTTTTTAAACTTCCATTTGATAAAGTAATATTCCTTTTAATAAATTAAAAGAGTTAACACATTTATCATGTCCGTTTTCTCGTGTTTGGTTTCGGTTTTTATTTCCAGGCAGGCAGATACCCAATCTAAATTGAACTATATTACATTACTGAATTAAATACGATCTCATAAGAGGACAACGTAAAAAGAGAAATAAAATAAAAATAGCATTAATATTATATGTTACCGTTTACTGCAACAGTACAGCAACATGTTAACTGTAACGAGTAAATTATAAATGTTCATTTTATGCTTTTCAGTGGATTACTGATTTATCCGTGAAAATTATATTTGACAATTTCACAGTGAAAATTATATGTTACCGTTTACTGGAACTGCACAAAGGGGTATGGCTCATTGAATGTTCACAAAATATGTATTTGATGGTAGAAAACATTTTTCCAAAGTCAGAAATGAATTCTAAGTCCATTCCCATTTCACTATGGTATTATGCATTAAAATTTTTGATTTTATTTTTTATTATTCATTTTTATTTAATTTTTATTTTGCTTTTATTTCTTAAGGTACACTTTAATGTCGGTAATATGTTATAACAGAAGGCATAAGAACAAATACAGATAGGAAGATCTAAGTTAACCAATCTACGGTAATCGCTTTAACAAGATAATTAATCCTATTTCAGACCTTTCGATAGTAAATGTTACAAAAGAAATTTTAACACTATCAGTAACCATAAGCTGATTTGTCATGAACTTACAGGTTTCAGTTAATACTTTTATTAACATGTAAACATTGTTTCATTGGGTGATTCCAAATTTCGTTACACGAAATTAAAATTGATTGGTTAAAATTACCTAAGGGAATTAAGGGTCACATGATGTACAGAAAAATTGATTGGTCTATTATTGTTATGGAAGTTGTTGTTCTAAAGTCCTTTCCTCTGAAGAGCCATAGATTGTATGACTCTGGATTGAAATAGTTTAAAAAAATAGTTTGAAAATAAAATTGAGGAAAAGGACATCTTTTTGTATTTTTAGGTAAGTC